AAGCACTTGCTTGCCAAGCTGGTGCCTGGAGCCGGCCCTGAGTACTATATGTTTTTGTTTGTTTTGCTTAAAGGATTGGGCATTTATAGAAATAAAAATAGCACCTACCTCCCGTAAACTAGGTGGGATAAAATTACAAGGGGGAACTACTGTATACTTCACTGCATAAAGGGTACTGCAGCATCAATTTATAAAAAGGTATTCAGGGTAATGATGCATGTGCCCCAGAAAGGTTTGGGATGCTTTATATGTCCGGCAAGTGAGCAAAGAGGACCGTTATGTCAAAATCAGCACTACGGCTGGTGGGTTTTTGTTTTTGTTTTGTTTTTTTTGCTAAAACATTAGACTGAAACAATGGATTTTCCACCAAAATGAAAACATTCATTTTGATAAAAATTCTGCAGTTTTTCAACAAATGAACAAAAATGGTTCCTTCCTTATTTTTATCTTTTGTAGTGGAATTCAGGCACACTGGAGGGCAGAAGGTGTCTCTGTGCTTTGGCATAATTATGTCTCTTTGTACAGCCAAAGCATCTAACAAACATTCACTCTCCAGATAAGTAAAGAGATCCATCTGAAAGACTTTTTTTTTTCTTCGTTCCTTTTGGGCCTGTATTTCAATTAGGTTTGTTAAAAGGTTTAGTGATGTAGTTTATTAATAATGAAAACTTTTTTTTTATCCCAGCTCGAACAGTGTCCTGTACTTCTAGTGATCTTGTTAAAAGAACTCAAATTAACAAATTTCATCAGATTAAGGAGTCCATAATCTCCCTTTAGTGTGTGACACACACTAGATCCATTACTGTTAATGGCAGTTATCTCTGTAAATCAAAGGGAGAATAAAGCTTTAAAAGCCTAATTATTTATGGCATCAAATTACAATAAAGTGGGGACAGCTTTAATTGTAGGTTTTCTAATCTCACGAGCGATCAGACTAATACCATGTTGAAGCTCATCAGGATTCTCTCTTCCCTATACGATTTATTTATTATTGATTATATAGACCAGAGCTGACCCTAGACCAAATGGCACCACGGGCCAGGAGTGTCTTCGGCACCCCCGTCCTCCTCCATTTGTTAAACTTTTGAATACCTTATTTTTTATTGCAGTTGCAGCCCATATCACAACTTTAATGCACAAGTTGCATTCATGATTTATCCCTGTCCTATAAGATGGACTTCAGACCCTCTACTTCAGAAAAGCAGACTGACTGCCTCAGGGAACTGATGGGGAGGATCCCCTGGGAGGCTAATATTATGGGGAAAGGAGTCCAAGAGAGCTGGCTGTTTTTAAAAGAAGCCTTATTGAGGGCACAGGAAAAAACCATCCCGCTGTGCAGAAAGAATAACAAATATGGCAGGCGACCAGCTTGGCTTAACAGAGAAATCTTTAGTGAGCTTAAATACAGAAAGAAAGCTTACAAGAAGTGGAAACTTGGACAGATGACTAGGGAGGAGTATAAAAATATTTCCCAAGCATGAAGGGGTGTAATCAGGAAGGCCAAAGCACAACTGGAGTTGCAGCTTGCAAGGGATGTGAAACGTAACAAGAAGGGTTTCTACAGGTATGTTAGCAAGAAGGTCAGGGAAAGTGTGGGACACTTACTGAATGGGGGAGGCAACCTAGTGACCGAGGCTGTGGAAAAAGCTGAAGTACTCAATGTTTGTTTTTTTTTGCCTTGGTCTTCACAGACAAGGTCATCTCCCAGGCTGCTGCACTGGGCAGCACAGTATGAGGGAAGAGGTGAGCAACCCTCAGTGGTGAAAGAACAGGTTAAGGACTATTTAGAAAAGCTGGATATGCACACGTCCATGGGTCCAGATCTGAGGGAGTTGGCTGATGTGACTGCAGAGCCATTGGCCATTATCTTTGAAAACTCGTGGCTATTAGGGGAGGTCCCGGATGATTGGAAAAAAGCAAATACAATGCCCACCTTTAAAAAAGGGAAGAAGGAGAATCCAGGGAACTACAGACCAGTCAACCTCACCTCAGTCCCTGGAAAAATCATGGAGCAGGTCCTCAAGGAATCAATTTTGAAGCACTTGGAGGATAGGAAGGTGATCAGGAACAGTCCACATGGATTCACCAAGGGCAAGTCATGCCTGACCAACCTCATTGCCTTCTATGATGAGATAACTGACTCTGTGGATATGGGGAAAGCGGTGGATGTGATATATCTTGACTTTAGCAAAGCTTTTGATACAGTCTCCCCCAGTATTCTTGCCTGCAAGTTAGAAAAGTATGGATTGGATGAATGGACTATAAAGTGGATAGATCGTCGGGCTTAATGGGTAGTGATCAAGGGCTCGATGTCTAGGTGGCAGCCGGTATCAAGCGGAGTGCTCCAGGGGTCAGTCCTGGGGCCAGTTTTGTTCAACATCTTCATTAATTGATCTGGATGATGGGATGGATTGCACTCTTCGCAAGTTCACAGATAACACTAAGATGTGGGGAGAGGTAGATACGCTGGAGGGTAGGGATAGGGTCCAGAGTGACCTTGACAAATTGGAGGATTGGGCCAAAAGAAATCTGATGAGGTTCAACAAGGACAAGTGCAGACAATTTTGGACGGAAGAATCCCATGCACTGCTACAGGCTGGGGACCGACTGGCTTAGCAGCAGTTCTGCAGAAAAGGACCTGGGGATTACAGTGGACGAGAAGCTGGATATGAGTCAACAGTGTACCCTTGTTGCCACGGCGGCTAATGGCATATTGGACTGTATTAGTAGGAGCATTGCCAGCAGATCGAGGGAAGTGATTATTCCCCTCTATTCGGCACTGCTGAGGCCATATCTGGAGTACTGCGTCCATTTTTGCCCCTCCCCCCGAAAGGATGTGGACAAATTGGAGAGAGTTCAGCGGAGTGCAATGAAAATGATTAGGGGACTGGGGCACATGACTTACAAGAAGATGCTGAGGGAGGGGAACTGGACTTATTTAGTCTGCAGAAGAGAAGAGTGAGGGGGGATTTGATAGCAGCCTTCAACTACCTGAAGTGGGGTTCCAAAGAGGATGGAGCTAGGCTGTTCTCAGTGGTGGTAGACGATAGAACAAGAAGCAATGGTCTCAAGTTGTTGTGGGAGAGGTCCAGGTTGGATATTAGGAAAAACTAGTTCACTGGGAGGGTGGTGAAGCACTGGAATGGGTTACCTAGGGAGGTGGTGGAATCCCCATCCTTAGAGGTTTTTAAGGCCTGGCTTGACAAAGCCCTGGCTGGGATGATTTAGTTGGGGTTGGTCCTGCTTTGAGCAGGGGGTTGAACTAGATAACCTCCTGAGGTTTCTTCCAACCCTAATCTGTGATTCTATGTGACATCAGAATCAACTCCCTGGAAATCTTTTAGTATTCTTTTTACTTAAGTTGTCAGCTCAGGCTACACCACTAAGTTATTAGATTTCTCCTAAGGCCCATTAATACGGGCATAACTGCATCCACCTTGAGTATAACTCTACTGTTTTTTTTTAAATATCACACCCCCCTTGCCAACACAGTTGTACTAGTAGAAAAACTATTTGTACACAAGGGTTTAGTTAACTTTAACCACACTTCCAAACCTATTATGAGTATTTCCTACCCAGTTTAAACATCCTCTCTAACGGGTGTCTCAACCCCATTTCTTAATGTTATTTTGCCAATACTATTCCATTGCTCTTCTATCCCATGGATGGTGGAGTCTGCTGTCATAAGTGGTACTGGGGCAAAGAGGGTGAGAAAATACAGTATTTGGAATTGGACCAACTTGTGTTGGCAACTGAGACAAGCTTTTGAGCTACACACAGTTCTTTGGGTAGGGTGATGCAACAGTATGATGTCCAAAAATAAGTGTAGTGTCTGTTATACACAAATCAAGCTTAATGGGAACCTGGATTGGTCCCATGGGGAAAGGATCCCATTCCATGCCTATCGGGACAATGAACCTCCTCTCCCCCAGCCTTGCAGCTCTTTTAAACAGACCAAGGAGCCTGGAGCCACTTTAGTCAGTCCTGGTTGATGGGTGTGGTGGGGATGAGGGACAAAAATCTTCAGCGCTTGTGAGCTATGCTGGCCCAACCCCTTCGGTTTATGATAACCTCAGGGCTTGTCTGCACTACACAGCTTTTAGCAACAGGCTGTGTCGCTACAGCCGAGCTGCTGGGGCAGCAGGGGGAGGGCGCAAGCCCCGTGCCCCAGGGAGCCCGGCGAGAGGGGCACTCTGTCGTCCCTGCCTGGGGCAGGTTAACCCTCCTCGGCAGCGGTGGGGAGCGACAGGGAGGCGCTGCGGGGGCTGAGCGCCGTCCCTCCCCCCGGAAGCGGCGGCGGAGAGTTGGGGCGCCGGCCGGGAGCATCGCAGAGCTGGGAAACCCCAGCGCCTGGCGGGCTGGAGAGCGCTCGCCCACCGTCAGGCGTTCCCGCCCTGCTGCCTCGTTCCAGCTCGTGAGGAGGCGGAGTATCCGTGCCCACGTGCCCCCGCTCAGCCAATCGGGGGATCGCGTGATGTGAGTGTGGCCGGTGCTGTTCCCCAAGATGGCGGCGTGTGCTCCGTGAGCGGCGGCGGCGCTAGCTCGGAGCGGCGAAGCGAAGGCCTGGCTGCTGGGGAAGGCCCCGCGCCGCTCGCCGCCAAACGTGTCTCCCCCCCGGGGCCCTAGGATGGTAAAATGACCCAGGGGGGGAAGAAGAAGAAACGGGCCGTGAACCGCAGCATCATGCTGGCCAAGAAGATCATCATTAAGGACGGCGGCACGGTGAGGGCTGGGGTCTGGGGCCTGGCCTGGCCTGCGCCAGCTTCGGGGCGTGCCGAGGGCTGGTTGTGGCACGGAGGGGAGTGTTAAGGCAGCCGGGGCGAGGCAGGCTGAGCGGGTCCGGCTGAGGTGTGGGGGCGCGTTGAGGCCTTGCTGGAGGGAAGGGGTTGGCCTGGAGGCGTGCGGGGACGCTGGGTTAACCCAGTGAACCAGGGGCAGGGAGCGTGGAGTGAGGTGAGGCCCGAGTGCATGTAGGGGACTGGCCTTTGCTATGGGGAGGACAGGCTGGTGCAGTGCGGTCTGGGGGTTGGCCCGGAGCCGATGAGACATGTTGCGTTGGGGTTCGGTGAGCTGGGCCTGGGAAGGGGCGGACCTAGCAAAGTGAGGCTAGTCTAGCTAGACCCCGGATCGGGGGAGGGCCATTGAAAAGCCGAACGCAGTGAGGTGGACACCTGAGGCTCAAGTGCCCAGAGAATCTGTCTGGTCTGTAAGGGAGTTTGGGGTTGGCATCAGGGTGGCCCGCTGCCTGGTTTTCAGCCAGAAAGTCTGGTCAGTAAGGGGACCTGATAGTGTCTGGTCAGATTTACTGACTGGACACTCAAAGTCTGGTTACTGCAGGTGGGGGAGGCGAAGAGGCACCTGTCAGCTCCTGCTCAACTGGGGCTGCCTTCTACCTTCCTTGGGCGGCTCCAGCTTCCAGCTGAGCTCCACAGGAGAGTCTTTTCTGTGGGGGAGAGGGAGAGGAATGGATGGAGGTGGGCCTTGAGGGAAGAGGTGGGGCAGAGCTTTGGGGGGGGGGGGGAAAGGAAAGAGGTGCAGGGAGGATTCCAGCATGCCTCCTGAAGTGTCCTGGTTTTTAAATATTATCAAATTGGTAACCCTAGTTGGCATGGTAGGTCCTGGCTTGAGGGCAATGCCTAAAACAGGTCAACCTGGGACAGAAGTCTGGCGCTAGCTAATGGGGTGATGAAGGAGACAATGCCACATTGTCTCTACTTGCTAGTTTGTGGGAAGATCCTCTATTTCATCAGTTATCAACCAGGAGTCTGGGACTCCTGTGGGGGCTGTAAGCAGGTTTCAGGGTGTCTGCTGAAACAAACCAACCAGAGAGCAGGGCCAGCGTTAGACTCACAGGGCAGAAAGCTGAATCCCGAGCCCTGCTGCCCAGGCTGAAGCCGAACCCTGAGCAACTTAACTTTGCGAGGCCACCTGTGACATGGGGCCCTAGGCTACTGCTCTGCTTGCTACCCTCTAACTCTGGCCCTGGCTTTTAATCTACTGAAAACCAGTTGTTGTGGCACAGGTAGGCCATGGAATTTTTATAGCATGTTGGGAGGTGGCTCGGAAAGAAAAAGGTTGAGAAGCCCTGCTCTAGGTGGAGCTACCTGGAACCTGTGAGGAAGAAGCTACCCTATAAACTCTTCTGTTGCAAGGGCTCATGCCTCTGATGTCCAGTCAGATGAACATTTCACCTGAGGCCTAACTTGGCCTCCACTCCCTCTGGTTGCTTTCTACCAGAGCTGGGTCCATGCTGTGTTCTGAAGGTAGCACATGGACTGGGCATAGGAACTTTGTTCCCAAAGAACTTCTGACACTTTTTCCCTGGTGGGGCTGGCTGGCAGCCTTGGGTGGGAGGGACTAAAACTATGTTCTTTGCTGCTGCCTCATGTGGGATCAAGAATTCTGGGCTGGTGCAGGTTTTTTTGCCATTATTTCATGATCGGTTTCCTTGCTATTAAGTGTTTCCTCTCTATCTTATTGGCATCCATCTGGTCATCATTTGTTAGATTATTTAAGAAATACTTTTAAACTATACCTAGTATGGTGATTTGCCTTTACTCTCAAGTAGTAAGTTTGAGTAATGAGCATTTGTGTCACGACTCAATATAAAGTAACTTTACTTAAACCCATGCATTTACCATTCTGTATAAATATGTGTAAGTCTACAGCATTTATGGATTAGATAATATTTAAACTCTTAATCTTGAAAGGAAATACCACCTAGAAAACTGCTGTGCATTTTCAGACAGCAGTTGGTTTCACAATGGCCTAGGATGATGGCAGGCATCCTAGAATTGTAGAATAGAGCAGGGAGTTCTGAGTATAATAAGTAGGATGTGGTTCTGCTGTTGGTGAAAAGCCCATCTGTGATGTGCTTTACCCATACAGTGTGTCCATCGCCATCATGGGATCCTTTGGTCTTTGTTCTGTCTCCTTCGGCTTCCATATTCTGAAAAAGAATAGGTGGGTAAGTGTGAGACAAACTTCTGTATCAAAGTAGTACTGTAAGGTTTTCCAGTTCACTGGAAGTGTGATGAAAATGTTTCCCAACAAATAGTTAAGTATTTTATCTAACAGAACTTGGAATACTTAGTGATTGAATGAAGTTGCCATAGATGCTTTTAAAAAAATACATCTATAAGCAGCATAGTTCGGTTATGAGAGAGGTATAACTTGGTCAAAATAACTGTAACAATGTATGTCTTGCTTTACTCGTGTAGTTTAGATAGCTTTTCAAAATGCATTAAAATCATATTATTGCTTTTAAGATAGGTCCTTCAAATAAAGGTAAAACATCAGTTTGCTGGTCTTTTGTATAAGCAGCCAAGAACTGCCATCATCAACTCGATGAGCTACTGTCTAGATTACTTAAGGGTCGGAGGCAAAGCAAGTTCAAATTTGACTGATAAATATCTACTGTGAAAGACTAATATTACTGTTTGTAATTTCTTTACAAAGTAAAAACTTATAGCATTACAAACATGTAGGCACATACGTTTTTTACAGGACTAATATAGTGAGTGAATACAGACAGTAACTTTTTTATGCTCTACTAGTTCATACAACTGGTGAAATTAGAATTTCTTATTGGAAAAAAATTGAGTTATTACAAAAGTGCCATTCTTCTAATTTCCATTTGGATGAACTGCCTCCAGGGATAAGGAGAAAGATTTAATGTATCATCCAGTTGTACCTTAAATAGTGCCTTCAGTGTCAGTTACCGGTATTAAAAGCTGAGTGCAAGCCCATTTGAAAGTACATTGAGTTCAAATGTACAGAAACATGGAGTAAAAAACAGGGCTGCAACTGTTTGGGAAGTCATTAGACAACAGATATTGGTTTGTGATCTGTTTGTGGAAATATGTGCCTATTCTCAAACCCAGGTAGAGAAAGAGTATTCAGACTTTTTATTTTTTGTGAGTTAATGACCTGTTGAGGCTGTATGCTGTTATACTAGACTATGTTCTTTATAATTGCAGCAAGAACTGCTTAGATGCATGGATCACACTGTAGACATTAAAAAAAAATAATCCGTAAATTAGCCCTCAGTTCTATTCTCATCCTCCCCAATTCCTCACTTGCCTGACATGCTAAATAATATTTTGGGGAACAAGTAAACTGAAAGGGCCTTGAATTTCTCTGATTTGCGGACCAGTAGAAATAAAAAAAAAAATTAAATATGCCTATTTAAATTTATCAATTACTTATGGGGTAAAATCATTATATTTTGAAAATTTTTTAGCCCCAAAGAAACTCAGTAGTCCTTTTCTCTGCAAGAATTCATTGTCAGTGGCTCAAATGCATGATAGGGTAGGTCTGTAGGTCTACTATAGTATATGCTTATCCCTAGTGATTGAAACCATTATTATTCTGGTTCCCCTGTGCCCCTCTCCAGTTCTGCTACACTAGCCCAATGTTAGCTTTGTGATTGGGTTTCCCATCCAAGCACATTCACAAATCTCTCTTCAGAGTGTGGGGGTATATACTTTCCTAAACAAGGAGCAGAGGTACCTACACCATTAATTTCAGCGAGATTTTCTGTAAAAAGACTAGAGTATGGTGGCAATATGTAGGAATGTCTTTTGGAATAATAATGTGGCTTCTTGTGTACTCTGTAATAGCAGAACATCAGTCAAACCTGATTTCTTATAACTCAGTCCTGATTAAATTTAAGAGGATGCTTACAGCAGTGACTGCAGGTAGACTTCCTGTACAACTGCGATAAAGATCTTATCGGAGTGCTATCCTCCTTTGTACAGTTGTTAAATAGCCATAGTCAAATAAATGAAATACAAAATACATTTAGTAAAATACTTGTGATGTAGACTCACCAAAGGAAGGCAATAATAGTAGTTCAGACCCTCTCCTTAATTCATCCTGTTCTAATGATTTATTGCAATTCATATCATATGTACAATACTCATTCTTATCAGACCATGTGGGGGAGGGACAGCTTAGTGGTTTGAGCATTGGCCTGCTAAACCCAGGGTTGTGAGTTCAATCCTTGAGGGAGCCACTTAGGGATCTGGGGCAAAAATCCGTACTTGGTCCTGCTAGTGAAGGCAGGGGGCTGGACTCAATGACCTTTCAGGGTCCCTTCCAGTTCTATGAGATAGGTATATCTTCATATATTACCACTGATGAAAGGAAATTTGAACTATGATACTTAGGTATGACAGGGTGAGTTAGAGCAGGAGAATTCAAATCTTGTAATTTACTTCTAAACTTATTCTGGTTTGTAAACTATATTAATAACAAGTGGATTCTCAGCTTTTATGATTGTACATTTGAAGTTGTCCTTGCTTTAGAGTTTTTACAGTGTTGTATCAGTAGAAGTATCTTCTAGCTATGATCCACATATAAGTTTATTTTATCGCTGGCTTGATCTATAATACAAAATCCTCTTGGACTAGAAAGACACATATCTGACCTGGCAGATGGGGTTTCTGTAGTTCAGCTAGTGCGCCACCTGTCCCAAAACAACTGCCATGCTCGGAATAGATAAAGTCAAAGAACATCTGCTTCTACCATGAGTGTCAGATCCCAGTTATAACTTGAGTATTTAGCTACACTTTTGTCTTTAGGCTTTAATGTTTGTAGCTAAAATACATCTCTTTTGTGGAACATGTAAAAATGTTGTTGCTGTTTTGAAATGCATTTAGTGTTTTCTCCTTTAGTTTGTTCACACTTAGTTGATGCATACTACTACAGTGTTTTATGTAATTCATTTTCAGACTCCAGGCCTACTTGATGTATTAATCAAATCCCATGACAGTCAAGGTTCTGCAGAATCTTAAAACTTGCATTTTATAAATTAAGTTTCTTGTACTTGTGGTTACAACAAAAATATTCTAAATGTAGTATTGTCTTTTCATTCAGTAGACAGAGAAGCTGATATGGTAGCTCTAAGAAGTTAGCTCCCTTCCTGTCAACTCAGTTGTCTGTTACTGCTTAAGCCTATTGATTTAAATTTCAACACTAATTCATATCTGATCATTTTAGCACAAAGATCCAGCTAAATGATCTTATGGCTTGTGCAGTGGTAGATAAGGGTAGTCATCTTCCCCCATCTCTTTAAAAATATTTACTGCTGTAAGCAGTGAAGCTCTTCAATGCAGTCCCTGATTTATTTCCTTGACCTGCTCTCACCTGCCCAAGATAAGGTGTCAGTGGGGTAGAGATAAACTGTTATTTTTTCATGCCTTGCCCATAATTGAAATGTTGGAAAAGCTCTCGACCTCTGACTCTTGGGGTCATAAGGTGGTTGTCTGCTGAGCAGCTGCTGGTAACTACTTCTCTTACCCCCACTCTGCCAACTGTTGCTTTACTCCCTGGTACAGTGAGGAAGCAGAGATAGCAGCTGAGAGGGAGGCTCCATTGTGCAGGAGCAAGTCTGATGCTGATCTGTAGCCTGGGAGGGAAAAGAATATTTGTTGCCCGTGGTAGTTACAGAAGTTTACTCTTTGGATCCTGTACTGTAGTCAGGGTGTGATGGGAGTGAAACCTAGAGCTGCTCCTCCAGGCATTGGAGCTCCTGCAGGCATGGGTGGTGCTGTGAGTTCAAGCTGCTCTCTGGCCCCTTCACAAAATTGTAAAGTCATCTCTGCTCATTGGAAAACAGAGAAGTGTAGCAAAAGAATATTTATTAATATGCTGGGCATGTGTGTGGTAACTAGGGAAGGAAGAAGAAAAGGACAGAAGTAACCATGGTACTAAAAGTACTCTGAAACATGTTTTCCACTAAACATTACAGAATATAAAGCTTTTATTAGAGATGGGTCGAAACAAAGCTTTTTTCCAAATCTGTTCAAATTCAATGGGTGGTGGGTGCAGTTTACCAGTTCCAGTAGCTGCTCCTATAGCTTTGGTTACAAGTCACCTGATGCAGAACCAGAAAGTTTACTTTTCTGGCTTGGATGGAGCCAAAATCTTGTAAGAATAGCTGAATTAGAGTGGCAGAAATCTCAAGATGGCAGAAATTTTGCAAGAACAGCTCATAAGATTTGAGCACTGTTAAATCCAAATCTTTGTCTGTTTGTATTTAGTCATATGAACACACTAGACCAAATCTAATTCAGGGCTGAGAATTGCCTCTTCATTCTCCAGTCTCCCTTAAGGGTTGAAAGAGTAGATGTTGAGGCAGAGCGTTTGACCTTAAAAAAAAAAAAAAAGTCCACTTGTGTAGCATTTTTAATTTGCAGGTCATTCATGTCATTCTGTTGTGAAATAATTCTCCAGTGTTTCCTGGCATGGGTAGTAATGTACTGTGGCAAGTTGACATAGCATGTAATAAAGTATCTGAGCCTAATCAGGATTTATCTCCCCACCCCAAATCCCTTCCACACTTAATTTTCTATCTCCATACATTCCCTTTTCTGGAAGCCACTTTTAGCTTAACTCAACAATAATATAAAGAAACATTTCTAACTCTGTCCCACATTTGATGTGCATATTGAGTCTATTTGTTGTTTTCCCCAGCATTTGGGGAAAACCTTCTAATACTAGTCTCACGTTAAAGTTGTGGTGGGCTTACCATTGTGTGAATTTGTTTTCTTTCATGTGGGTTTTAGATAATTTATTTTAACAAGTTTTTGTATTTAGTCAGACACAAGCTTTTACTAATAGAAGCACTGTTTGGTAAGAACCAAAGGTGGTTGGTAAGCCAGTTAATCAGGATTTGGAATGTGGCATTGAGTGTGAAAATAAGCGGGGTTTGAAATAATTAAATCTTGGTTTTTGACTTCTAATTGCTATGTGAACTTAATTGTTTCCTTCCCTGAGGAAAAAAAGATATGAAATTCCCCAAGAAAAGAGTCTCAGTTCAAATAGTGGAATCTTGTTAGAGGGAAGTCATTTTTCCTCAGTTTTCTCTGTACATGGAGGTTTATGGTAATTGGCATTGCAGTTTGTACAGTGCTGGTTTTTAAGACACTTCCAGTCATTCATTATGCTTCACCATATGCAAGACAGTTATTCAGATTCCTGAAACAGCTTGTTTTGAGCCATACTTCATCTTAACAATTTCTTGCTTAGAAACCAACATTCAAACAACTTTCTTATTAATAAAGCAGCTTTTTAAATATTCTGTAGTAACAACTTTTTTGTTTTTGTGTTTTAGCCTCAAGGAATAGGTTCGCCTAGTGTCTACCATGCTGTCATAGTGATTTTTTTGGAGTTTTTCGCTTGGGGACTTTTGACAGCACCTACTTTGGTGGTAAGTGATGTGGTTAATGAACTTCTGTATTGCATGAAAAGTTTAAAAAAGAAAAAAAAGCGAAAATATTAAGTTCATTGCAGTATTATCACAGCATTAAACTTGAAAATAAAGTTTGGGTGGAATTGAGCTGGCCTGAACTTCACACTTGGAAGAACATCTTGTGTGTTATGTTACTGAATGTGGTCAAGATTAAACAATCCATGTAGAGTTGGGCTTATTGATATCAGCCACAAATCAACATATGTAATCTATGCTAATTGCACACTTTTGAGAAGAAATACTTTAAAAAAAAAACCCCTCAAACCTTCTATTCCTGTCACCCCCACAGACAGAGGTCTATCTTGAGCACAAGAGTAGGATCTAGGAATGTGTGGGATTCCAGTCCCAATTTTAAGAACTTTGTGACTTTGATCTTAAAGGATCATTACTGAACCTGGCCATTCTTGCACAATATTTACTGAGTTATTTTTAATTTGTCTGTACTGTCTTTCTGACCTTTGGTAATTAACAAGGTGATGGCAAGCAGAAACTTTCTCTTTTGTAAACATGTTTTCACTCCTGCCTAAGTAATTCATTTATGCTACAGTCAGTGATATGACTTAACTTCTCTGAAATAAAGTGTGATACCACCCCTGAAGTCTATGGACAGATATTGTATCCTGATAAACTGCAATATAAGGAAAGGAGATTTTTAACTTTTGTTCTTGTTTATATGCCATAATTGTGCACCATGGCTTACAGAGATTAAGGTTAGGGTTAAACTTAAAAGTTTTGCCAGCATAGCTCTGTTGATTAGGGAAGTGATGGTTTGGGGGGGGTTGTGACATGGCTACAGTGTTGAAATCTATAGGTAAAAAAGTGTGTTTAGCTTTAATCTAATGTTCCTATCTTGTAAACACTTCAGTCAACCTAATGCCCATTGTAGATGTAGGTAGGCTGACCTAATTATGTTGCACAGGGCACAAAATTTGCACAGCTCTGAGCGCTGTACCTAGATTGATATAATTTGTAGGTGTAGCTGAGGCTTTAGTATGCAAAAAAAACAGTGTATTCAAGCCATCTGAGCAGTACATTCATTCACCATGCAGTATCTACCTGTGTTGTTGTGGTACTAGTTTTGTGTTCCATGATATTGAAGTCCTTTTAAGTAGTGTTTATTTGGTATCTGAACCAGTCTATCACATAAGTACAGCATGTCCTAATTGATGTGTACTTTCCTTAAATAAGGAAATCCTACAACAGTATACCTCTTAATTGAAGTAGGAATGATACTTTTATCAAACTTAATGAAATTTTCGCCAGTCTTATGTGGTAAAAAGTGGAGAAAACACACTGATTTTGAAGATTGTTCTTTCCTAGTTTTACTGACCTGCAGCGGTAGTGCTAACATTGTAGCTTATCCACTGATGCCTTTATTTCTGGAAAGTAAGAAGCATAGCATAATTTACTATTAGAAATTGTGTAGTCTACTATGTAAATGTCTGTAGTGGACTATTTAACAATGAGATTATTGATGTTGAATTTATGAATTTCATGGTGGATTTTACTGTAATTTATATTAAAATTGTTGGTATAATATGCCTCAGATATATTAATCTTTGAGTCTGTATTCATATTTAGTATTGTGAAATATGGATAATGCAGTATGTAATGCACATAATTCTTTCATAGGTGTTACATGAAACCTTCCCAAAGCATACATTTCTAATGAATGGCCTAATCCAAGGAGTAAAGGTAGGATGAAAATTCAGTCTAAATCAATAATTGAGTACAATTTAAAAGAAATCAATAAAGGGTACATACATGAGTGCTGATGCTTTATTAAGTGGAATAAGGAGAGCCTTCCAATATAGCTTTCAAGCTGTGAATAAAATGTGAGGGTAAATTTACCACAGAGAGCTCAAATGCAGCACTTAATTTTAATAAGATCTTGCTTTTGCTAAAATTTTTACTTGGTTTGACTGAGGAATAAATAGGCCAGTTGAATAGCTCAAGATCACACAATCAGTTGGTGTCACAGCACATAAGAATGCAAGATACCTGTTGACACCCAGTCCTTTGCTCTGATTGTTAGACCACACGTCCTCAATGTGTTGAAAAATGGTATCTCTCCTAAATACAGCATATAAAAATGCAAAGTGCATTTTATTAAGCTGCGTGTTGACTGCATTTGGATTTTACATTTTGGATTTCTGTGGGATAGTAAAATTCAAATTGCAGGTAACTGCTGCTGAGTGGAAAAGGGGGATGAAGGATACTCATAGAAGATATTGCTTGACATATTGTTCCATATAGCCAACATTTATCATTAATCTGCAAAAAAAATCAGTCAGTTTCTAACAATCTTTCAACTATTGTATTTTCTTTCATTTCTTTGTTTTTATTTAAAATTTGTTTTTACTTTTCAGGGCTTGTTATCGTTTCTCAGTGCCCCCCTCATAGGTGCTCTCTCTGATGTTTGGGGACGAAAGTCCTTCTTACTCTTAACAGTATTTTTCACTTGTGCACCAATTCCATTAATGAAGATCAGCCCATGGTTAGTAACAAGCATAGTTATTTATGGCTTTGTCTTTAGTGTGTTCTTGCTGTACGCAATTAATAACGTAGCATTTATAATAGCACTTGTATTCCAGTTAATTTACCAGATGTTGTTTAATTCTTAGCGCACCTCTGTGAGGTAGGTGCGGAAGTACTAATCCGTTGCAGAGTTGGGGAAACTGATACAAGGTGAAGTGACTTGCTTGAACGCCTCAAAGCCAGGCTTAGAATTTTGGATCTCCAGACTGTTAGCCCCATGCTTGCTTCTAAGCTAGTCATTAGTACTGGAGTGACTTGTGACTTTTTAGTGATGGTTGCTTATGTAGCAGAGAGCCCAAGAACTTGAAAGATGTATGGCCTGTGAGCTGATATATTTCTTGTACTTTTAAGCCTCTTGGGGGTCAATAACTTAATAGTTGAGTATAATTTTATACAGTATATTTCCCTGTACCTTCGTAGAATGTCTCTCTAATCCTTGCATATCTTTATTTGGCTGTAATTTTCAGCAAAATCATTTCAGTACTAAGTAAATAGTCACTAAGAATTGAAAATAGTCTTCAGAACTAGCATATACCTTTAAGCACTAGTGTGTAACATTAAAACTGGTACTGAAAAAGTAGCTGCAGCTTTTTTATTATAGTTTTGCTTATCAAATATTAGAATCCAGCAAATTTTGACTAACTGGAATTTTAGTAGTCTGTTGATACGCCTCCATTCATGAGTCTAATGACCCTAGGATAATGGCTAGTTCACAATTGTCTCAAATTTGTACTGCTCCTGAAGATAAATCTGAAATAACATAGGACAAGGTCTTAGCACTGATAGAGGTCTGAGAGTCAACTGTTCATATTGTATCGGAGGCTAATTCAGTTTGCTATCTAGTCTTAAGGTCTTTTGTGGTCTCTCCATTTTGATCCCTATTCCAGGGTGATAGGCTATTTGTTTAACAGTTTATATTTTGCAACATGCATTTTGAATGGAGATAATTGCTAGTCTGTGGACTCACGGCTAAGGCTAATGTTGAAGGATCTGTAATGAACTATCCTAATTTAACCCACAAAGCATTTTTTTTGTAGAATGGCAGGTAATTCTGTTATACACTCAGTGCACACTGGAGAGATTACATAACCATATAAAGACACATGCATACTGACTTTATAAATATTTTAAATTACTTGTCAGGAATAAGTT